AGCAAAAAGTAATTGTGTGAATGATACTCTGTGCATCTTTCTAATCAGTTAGCCGTTATATTACCGAGCTAAAATAAAAAACATCAACTGCAGACAATAAAATAAATAAAAATAATTAATGAAATCTACGACAATGGAATTCTTTCTGTATGAAAACGTCTGAGCCTGGATAGACAGAGTAAGAACTTCTTGTTAAATTTTGTTTCCCCTAATTTCTCTGTTTCTTTCCTAATTGGCATGGCGTTCAGAACTATTTCTGTCCGTGCTTTTCTCTCAGCACATCACCTTTACTGGCACTGGTTCCCAAACAGCAGGGCTTTTGCCTCAGATGGAATCTAGCTTCATTGCACACAGAAGCCTGGAGGAGACAATAGATGCTAATTTGCTAATAACATTACTGTGGAGGTTATTAAAGCGTCAGCAGAGAGGCAGGAGGCACCTTCTTCAGGGGAAGCTGCTCAATTGCTTCCAACCTGGACTCAACAGCAGTGCAATATAGCAGAGAAGAGATGTTAATGCCACTCTTCTGTCCTGAGGGGAGTGCCTCTTTTAGGAGCAATCACAATAATGATCTCTCTAGTTACCCATGGGCTAATCTGTTGGATTTTATTAACACCACCACACAGACATGCATGCTCAAAACACCAACAAAGGTTACCTTGACAACTATGACAGTCACCATGGTGCTGAGTTAATGACTTTTGGCAATATGGCAGCCTTCTTACCTTTGTCACTGTCTGGGTGCAACATATAAAAGGGTTTCCAAGCACAGATGGCAATGAATTTGAAATTTTCAGCCATAGTATTTAATTTTTTTAATCGATATTGAATGGATTAACAAAACAATGTGAATTCAATACGTGCATCTGTTCATGCTGCCACCTTGAACCCTTTAGACACCCCGCTGTTAATATTTTATGCTTTGTCCTGTAACAGCTGCAACTAATATTTTCATTTTGCAAGTGGTGACTTGCGTATATTCAGCCTTTTTACACTTTGCTAATAGTTTAATGAATAAATACATTTCCTCATTCACAATAAACACATTCTATTTCCATACGCAGTAACTGAAAGATGCTCTCCAACTCATCTATATACTTTGTGCTACTTTTCAGCAACAAATCAACAAAAGTTTTCCTCGAATTTGGAACATCTCCTCGTCTGTTTCCTGATAAAAGGCTCTTTGTTCTGCTTTTATGCTGCTATTGATCAGCAGTGCCATCTTCTATTGATCCTCCCACTACAATACCACATTTGATGGATTGATTGGCAGCCTGCAGCAAGAGACCAATTTGTCAGGGAGCACTGGACCTTGTCAAAGAAGACCAATATGCCCCAATCATGGATGGCCTACTTTCCCAGGGGTGGTTTGGCAGAAAGGGTATGGTTCTGCTGACTATTCACGGTTGGCTTGTGAGGCCCGGGCACGTGTAAAAGTGAGTTTGTGTCTGGATTCCCATGTGAATAGAGCAAGTCTGATGAAAGCCCACTTTAAAACAGATCACAGGTGATTTCACCAAGCTGCCTTTCATTTTGCGTTGAATTTGAGTTTTACTTTTAGGTAGACAGTTGACAGTCAAATAAACACATCTGTAGTTTTTCTTTCCCCCCGTTTGTACCACCAGTTACAGCTTCCAAATGGTTGTGCTTCAGCTGCTGCACATGATGGTTTCTGCCCTCAGTAATTACACCTTCCTTGTGCTGGGGGAGAAAAACTGAATAGGTAAGAGGGGGAAGCCGTTATTCTTAAATCTCCACTTGATACTGACTTAATCATTGCCTGCCTTGTCTTTGGAATGGGTGAAATTGAAACATTAGCTGTTCAGATCCATGTACAATATGTGGGTGGCTCGTTTGCACCCTGTGCCTGTTTTTAATCATAAACTTTGATCACAAGCTAACGCTACATTTACGTCTTTGTTTTCTTGCTTTGTATTGCTTTTGTGTTACTTTATCTCGACCTTTTTATCTTCCACCTGTGTTTGTGCTTCCCTGTTTGAGGTACATTACTCTCATGAGAGCAAATTGCAACATTGCTGTGATAACATGAGATCCATTAGCCACAGTTATTGACTGTCTATAAGTGATCTCCACCGCCAGCAACTTCTGTATTCACAAGCAATGCTGTGTACTTTCCAACTGCAGTCCCAGGCTTAGCTACAAGCAACCAAAAGGAAGCATTTACTCAAATGTATTGACCACTTTCATGAATTTTTCATTGGATGCTCAAGGCAATGGGCTGCCAACTTGGTGGGTTGAGAAAACGAGGCTCTTATTCGATGCCGCTGACCCCCCCCCCCCTCCCCCTGTGGGCTAACACTGCATTTGAAAGGTTTATCTCCTTGAACCTTTTAAACACCTGAGTGATACTGTACTTTAGAGGTCCTATCCACTTCTCTATACTACTGACTCACCCAACATTAGGCCCTATGCCTGAAGCTTCTTTTGGCTCTGTTGTCCTTGGCAACAACTTGAGAGCTTACTTTTTTTTCCTCTGCTACTATAGGCTTCTCAGAGTCTTTCTCTCTACAGTTTAATCTATGTGGCTACCTCAGAGCAGAGGATGAACAAACTTTTAACTGTTTTTTTCTTCTACGCTTTACCCTCAAGAAGCAAGGCAGGCAAAAGTTCAGCTCTGTCCACGTTTATCTCCAGAGACAACACACCTCCCAAAGCCACATTTCTCCAACACTCCATCAGCAACTCCCCCATGTTTTATGCTTAAATACACATCACAGCCTTCCTTTTCAACAACTCCACTGTCAATACAGACCTGACAGAGTCTGAACATCAGTTTCTGACTCATCTGCTCTTAATTCACTGACCTGCTCTGGGCCTGCTGATGGGACTTTCAAAGACATGCACAAAACAGTCTGCTGTCCCCAACATGGTGGCACATCACTACAGTTTTAAAGTATAACAAGGTTGAGTCGGGTCCTCCAGAAGGATTCTTCTTGATTCTTCTCAGAGGACCTGACTCAACCTTATTAAATGTATCTACCAGGATTATTGAGCATCCATCAGAGTTTTAAAGTTTTTTTTTCTCATTGCTAAATTAGAATTTAAAAGCTTATTGTTAAAGTGACTATAATGTGACAATATGTATGCAGCTTATCAAAGAAGGGTGATTTGTATTTAAACCTCATACTGAAGGCACACTTCTCCTGTTAGTTTATTACCTGTATGTATGAAACTTCACTATCTAGAGGAGGTACTAATTGTAACAATGCTTCTGACACATTCTTGGGTTCTTGGCCAACCGAACTTGCGTCACTTGACAAACATGTAGTGGTAGTTGTTGTAGTGGTTAGCATTGCGCTACGTTAGTGCCAGCATTTGTCGATGTGGGGGGGCACTATGTTTGTATTGTGCATGATTTGTGTGGTTTGGAGTCTGAGCTAAGCTGCTACAATCTCCGCTCCCTGTCCAGAAGTGGCAGAGCTGTGTGGAGGTTGGGGAATTTGGTAGGTGGGAAGCTCGGTTCTGTTGACAAGGCGGGGTGCCCTCCTTGAATAATAGTACATAAACCCTGCAATATCTCAAGAAAACTTATAGTAACAATAACAAAGTTATTGAATAAAAAATTGCTTTAGATAGCTAACTTTTATGTTTGTCGACGGTCTGATGTATTATGGTATAATCTCCAGTGTTTCGCTCATATCTTCCTTGATTCTTTGTCGACGTGGGGACAGACACGTCTGTGTTGCGCATCGTTTGTACTGTCGTTTATTGCGTGGGGTGGTGCAGGGTGGGGAGACGCCTCAGCCTCAGGGAGACAGAGCACTACCTCCATAGTCATAGCTTTTTAGCTAGTGTGTCTGTATTGTGCATCGCTAGCTTAGCGTGGGGGTGTCTGTAGGCAGGGCGCTCAGTTCTGTTGATGGGGCGGGGCGCCCTGGTTGTATAATTTTAGGGGAAACACTGATCCGTCTGTCTGTATGTACTGTATGTTGTATGTGGTACTCTAGTTGATTCACGTAACACTTACCCTACTGCTGTGTGTTCAAATGTTTTTTGTCTTTATGTTTAGTTGAAGTTACGGCAGTCGTTTGGAAACTTAGAACTGATGTTTTGTTACACGGTGATTGACAGTGGGGCAGCCAGTAAGTAAGCCTGTTTTCACTTCTGAACAACACGAGGAGGTGTAGACACTTTGCCCGTCTTTATTAATGTCTATGAGCATGAATCTGTTGCTACATGGACACTATTGTAGCAACCTTTGCTCCTTGCTCCCTTTAAAAGAAACAAAAAAAAAGTTTAGCGGCGAAACTACAGGACCCGCTGTACGAGCTGATGTTCGACAAAAAATAATACAAAAAAATGTCTACACAAAAGCCTTTCATCTGCTTTAAATCATAACCGCTTTAGGCTTTTAATTTTTTAATCCCACATTTTAACATACTTGCATTTAAAAGTGTGCTCCGTCGCTACTTCGTCCGCCATTACGGCCAGAATTTTCTGTGTGCCCGCAATGCATCATGGGATAGGGTGGACAGCGAAGGACACACGGGACCTGGCCTTGAAATCGGGGGGGGGAAAGGAGGCCGCATTCGTGGGCCGCATTGAAGGAGTGTTGGAATTGTGACAGGCCTCGGCGCGTTGTTGTGACGTGAGCGGCCTTCAAATGCGTTCTTGGAAGGACGCAGCCGTTGGATCGGGACACACCACTCGATTGTTACAGCAGAGATGATGATAAGTCAGATCCAAGCATCAAAGTATTCTAGGTCGTTTTCCAAGGGAATCTGTGCTAAAAGTATAACTTTACCACCTTGAAAATATGATTTGATTACTGCAGAGCTAAGTGTCATGTAGAAAATAATATTAAAGATGTAATAAAATAAATGTGGCGCAAACATTAATTTAATGTATTTGTTCTATTAACAATGAGTTCTAATTGCTGACGGTGTGTTTTTTTGTCATTGTGTTATTTATATTTTTGACCCTAGATGACCGTAAAGCCAATGGTTTCTTCTTCATCCTTTCTGTTTGTGTCTTCACAGGAGCTGCGGGAAGTCTGGCTCAACTACCCACCACACCCCCTGCAGGTTGGTTGACGAGTCTTCTCTTATTGATGTTTACTTTGTCTGGGTTGCCTCTCATTAAAACGCTCCTCATCCACCAGTACACAGAATTATTTCTCAGTGTTTGAAGCTCTCCGGCCTTGTAGTGAGTTGGTTTGTGTTTGTAACAGAGGTGGGGAAAGCTGTCGGTTATTTTTCTGCTGAGGCCGACTTACTTTTTTGTAGCTGTCACAAACCTTATTGTGCTGCTCTCCAGTTTGGCCAAGACCCTAATCCGCTTTCTGAGTTACTCCCCCACTCCACTTCTTCAGCAACATTTCCCTCTTATTTTTATTTTTTCCTCAGCATCTTTGCTTTTCATCCACTCGCTCCGTCTTCTCTTTCTTGCCTGCTCTTTGGGTTCCCTGATCAGCCCAGAAACACTGAACACGTCAACAGTGTTTGTTTGAAATTTGGATTTGGTAGAAGAGATCAAACGTGCCATAACAGGATTACGGTCCCAAATCATATGGTGGGGTCTCCAGGGACCGCCAGGCATCTTTTTTCCTCTGTTTTTGCGAGAAGAAAGTGTTTCTTTGTTTATTTAGTTAGTTTATTTTTGAGCATCTTGATGCATATGCAGGAGTGTTGCAGCATTTTCTCTTTCTTCCATACGTTTCTCCATGTCTGGACTAAACTAGCGTTCTGTTTGGGTACATCACGCCACCTCATCCCTTTATTTGCCATCCACAAATGTTGAAGATCCACAGAGAGCTGGGCTGTTTTTGTTGAGCTTGTAAGCGCTCGGGATAAACTGATGTCTTGGTGAGTTCCTCTGCTGAGGCCAGCACAGGCTTCAGTGGTGGTTCATGAACAGGGTGGAGGCCTGGGGTCCGCCGCACCACCAGCAGCAGACTGGTGGGAGTTCTGCTTCCATTAGCTCAGCTTCATTATGAAACACTGTGATTTGTTTTTTCTGGAGGGGCAGGTAAAAGGTTTCAGACGGTAAGACGTAATTTACAGTACTGCGCAAACATTTAAAACCACCTCCTGGTTTCTTTACACTCCTTCTAAGCAGCCAGACGTTCTAGTTCTTTGAGTTAAAGTTTTGAAAGAAAACAATACTCAACTGGAAAAACAGAAAAATATTAGTACATCACAATGGCTGGACCTTCTCACACAACAGATATCAATGGAACAACAATCAGCGATATATAAAGATAAATTTGAATGTTTCAATAAAATTGACTCCATAATTCTTGACACCATTCCATTGTCGGTGAGTTGGTACCACTGGAACCAAAGACCAGCGGGGACAGGTGAAGGGGAAGAACTTGATAACAAGGTCACATAAAGTGTCTCTTAGTTTCCTTTATCTATTTCATTTGTTTACTCTTGCTTTTGACATACAATTATATTTGTTTGTTTTATTTCTCTCTCTCTTCTCCACTTATTCCTAAACAAATCTAATCAAGGACTATTAAAAAAATAAAATAAAATAACAGTGCAAATAAGAAAATAACTTCCAAGATTAAAGGAAAGCAACGCATATGTTAAACAATTTCATTATTTTCTTTCTTTATATTTCTGTTGTTGTTTGTCTGTAATGTTTGTTTTATGTGCACAAATTGGTGAATAACATTTTATTAAAAAAAAAGAAGTTTTGAACCCTTGGCTACTTTTCCTCCTCTTTGTTTAGTTCTACCTGGCAATGACAGGATATCGTGCAATCTTCTTAAAAGATGAGGAAACTGGTAGAAGAAACGACGTGTCGAACTAAAGAACAGAAAAACAAACAGATCAGGGTTTCAAAGTCCTGCGCTCTGGAAATTATAACACAAATGTATATTAAAGATTTGATGCATGATCTTTGAGCAGAAACATCTTTAGCTGATCACGTCCAGCGGTGGCTTCAAGCTGGGGTTGGACCTTCACTGTGAGTTATGAAATACACATTTATGGGGGTTTTGGAAAAACTTAATAAGAGTCTATGAACTTTAAGTATGATTGTCAATAGCAAAATTAGCACGATCTGTTATATTTATATATATATATTTATTATGTAAATAACTATTAATTGTTTAACGTTTCATTACTGTCTGTGTGCTTCAACTGTGAACAGTTGGGCGGATGAGATTCATAAACTTTATGTGTTTGTGGTTAAAAAGCTGAAAAGTGAGTGAGTAGATGGTGATTTTTTGGGAATCCCTTTGGTAGTCCTAAAAATATGGAATATGTTTGAGACTGTTTGATATTTTGTCACAGAATAAATGATGTAAATGGGAACAGTATGTGTCTTTGTGGCAGGCTGTAACAGTGTTTAAAGATTTAATTTACATTTGGTTCCAAGTTGGTATGTGTCGATACAACTTTGGTTCATCTTTTGAGTTTGCATGTCTTTTTATGTTTGGATCAGTTTCTCATCATGTCATTTATTTATTAACATTTATTATATTGTCATCATGTTTGAAACAGGTCAGAATTATGCGGCTGAAAAACAACAAGTATCTGAAAATGATCAGAAAGTGGACTGAAACCAGCATACCTGCAAACTAGTTGCTTTTCAGCAAAATATGTTAATTTAAAACTAAAATATGTTATTTATGTGAATCGTCTAGATCATCCCTTCTGAGTTTTCTGGTATGAACTTAGTAAAAATCAAGCAAAGTCTAAAGAACAACCTTAAAAGACTTTATAAATATTAAAAACCGTTCTTGAAGTCAACCTTCTTGGAAGCAAAATAAGAAGAAGTGACGGAGGCTTTTGCAAATCCATCGAAGGCCCCAAGAGTTTGAACACTAAGCTCAAAATTATTGCTGAAAGGAAACAAGGTGTAACCTAATTCTCTTCCCCACCAACACGAGGGAGAAGACGTGAAAGAGGAGCTTCCCTAATGAGGTTTGAGCTGACGGCGATGGCAGCTCACCATGATATGTGTAATTATGCGTGCACCAGTTTTTGGCACACATTAGTCTTGCCACCGACTTGCCCTGCAGAGGGATGTGGAGCGCCTCGTGGTTTACGGCCCTTTCCCTGTTTTTTCTTGATTTTCACCAGCACATCATCATCGTCAGCCCTTCCCCCCAGCTCTCCAGGATAATTTAGCAGAGCGTCGTTTATGTTGAGTGTGGATTACGACATTCCTCCTTTAGTTTATCAGGGAGCTGCATGAGTGTCGAGCTTGTTGGGCCTCCGCTCTCATTCTGCTTCTGGTCTGGACTGAGCTAAAAGTGATGCTTTGAAGCCATTTCAAACATATTTATTTATTTTATTTTTTCATGGCTTCTGTTGATCCCCCCCCTCACTTCGTTTGAAGCCTTGCTGCTGGCCATTCCCCCTGAAGGATCGCTCGCTCCTGCGAGTGCTGAACTCGTCAGATGTTGTTAGTCGTGATTCATGACATTTAAACGCCTTCCGTTAATTAAGAGAGGAAAGAAAAAGGCAGGAATGAAATATTTCTTATTACACGCTGGAAGATGGAGCCATGACATTACCGGAAGCGCTCCAATTAAAATACTGAGTTTAAAAATACATCTCTGCGCCGCGCGCTGACTTGACACGGGAGACTTTGAAAAATGTGTTTACCAGTCGTTGCTTTGTGGGAGCGCAGACAAAAGAAATGCTGATAAAATAAAGGGAAGGGCCACCTTCCCCTCGGAGAGCCTTGGGTTTGGTCTTGTTTCATGTGCTCCGTGCACCTGACAGCGCCACGGAGCAGCCGTACAAGGTCAGCTGAATGTGTTTTAGTCTTTTTTGAATATCCTCATGAAACCACAAGTCTTAATGTTTGTATATTTGTGGAAAAAGATGTCTTGGTCAAGCTAGCATGTGCACCACGTAGAGACCAATTAGAAGATTCCAGCAGCCTAATTAATACACCCATAAGCATATCTCTTGATTCAACAAACACGCACACGTTTATTTTCTTAGCATAACATTTCCTCCTCTAATGAGCACAGTCTTAAGCAAATATTGTGGTTAAAGAGAGCAGCTCAAGCCACCTACCCTTCGAACCTTTCCTCGTGTTCATGCTTAAAGATTAATCTGGTGTTTTATCGCACGTAAAGAAAAAAAAAGTTGTTTTAAAGCTCACGGCGTTCGTCATCTCTGTTATAGTTTGCTAATAAACGAGCAAAGAAAAACTTCCAGCACTCCTGAGTCACCAGAGATAATAAGAGACTGCAGAAATGCCAGCTTTAGAAAGAGGTAGACGCCGTTTGACTTAAAAGTTAATGACGGAGAGGTTCCATCTGCCGCGGATCACTGTGAGTTTGTTTTACAGTCGGAGTAAAAATACACACCGAGCACAACAAACTGCAGCGACGCTCCGTTGTGGCGCTCGTGTTGAAGGACTCTGAGCAATCACAAATGTTGAGAGGAAACGTGCTCGTCAGAGCCGAGGGATGTATTTGGCCAAAAGATCACCCAGTTTGCAAACTCTGAATGAATAATGGGAATTCTTGACAAATGCTTCAGCGTTTCAAGGTCTGAAAAGATCTTGAAACGATCGCATTGCTTGTTGTTGCACTTTTCAATTAAAAGCATATAGAGAATCAGATTGCTTTCTGTTAGCTAAGAGAATTAAGGTGTTTGTTCAGCATTAAATGAGCTGGGTGCAAATGTTTTTTGTTGCAGTATAGTTTTAAAACTTCACAAGCCACATTGAAAACACACCAGCACAATTTCCTGTTTGTATCCATGTGCTAATGTGCCTGGTTTGGTACATCTGCCTCTGAACATCGACTGAAACCAGTTTCTGCTCACCTGGACCCGTGAGTTTTCCCACAGTCGTGCCTCTAACCCTTCGTTGTCTCGTGTTTTTCTAGGTGCAGGAACCTCAATCAGACAGGCAGCTGATTGAAACATCTCCAGTTCTTCAGAAACTGACCAGTTTTGAGGAGTCCATCGGTGTTCTGTTCACACACGTGCGCCTGTTGGCCAGAGCGTTCACCTTGAGGACTGTGGGCTTCAACCATCTTACTCTGTGAGTACTGTTGCTCCAAGTGCGTCTAGAGTTGTAACCTCATGCACGCTGCAGTTGGTCTGCATTAGAGGTGGGTACTTGTACAGTAATATACTGTACACAGAGGAAACAATACTGTATTCACACAGTGATTGGGTTGCTGCAGATGTTTTGGATGGGTTCAGTAAACTGATGACAGATCAGCAAGTCACAGTTTATCTCAGCTCCCAGAGTAGGTGCAGCCCGGACAGGAATGAAGCAGAGAAGTATACACTCTAAATGCTCTACATCAAAACTACGAGTGGTTTAAACAACAAACACCTGCCGCATTAATTCAAATCAGCTGTGTAAAAATAATAGTGGTTCTAGTGACAACGGACAGCTGCAGCAGAGAGATGAAAGGTGCACGTGTATGGCACGCAATTATATCTTGTCAGTGATGGATTTAAAAGTAACGTGGAACGTTATTAGTATAGTTAGTCAATATCCATCATACTAAGCACTAAGGGTGCAAATCTGTGTCTGCGATACGATTACATTTTGATTTTTGTTGCCACGGTTCACTTCAAAATCGATTTTTCCATTCAGAAACAATTTTTCTATTGAAATGGTCATAAATTTTCTTTAAATTATAATGTATATGTAACTGACGAGCTGAAAAGATTAAACAACAATGTAAACAAATACAACATTTATTTAAAACAATCATTTTAGGTTCTTTACTGTATCAAATCTTTTTTACATCGTTTTCTATTTATAACAAAAATATGAAAAAATATAGGAGTGCGTAAAATTCTGTAACTTAAATTACCGGTATCAGGTTAGCTTAGTTGCTTGGGTTTTTCTTAAAAATAAATAAATAAATTTTAAAAAATCTAGGAAGAAATCATTCATCCATCCATCATCTTTACCCACTTCTTCCTTTATGGGTCACTGGTATCACTGGTTCCCATATCAGCCATCACTGTGTGAGAGGCGGGGGACACCTGGACAGGTCTCCAGTCCATCACAGGGACACCTGGACAGGTCTCCAGTCCATCACAGGGACACCTGGACAGGTCTCCAGTCCATCACGGGGACACCTGGACAG